AAATTAGATCTAGAGGTTTGATTAGATTCAGGGTAAATGCTTTTGGCAAGAATCCTTGATTTTATAAACTTCATCTTGCATCCCATCAGGAGATGTACGAGGTCAGGGTACCCGTTGTGCATGACACTAAACTTAATCATTTTATAAGGTGGGGATCATCAACTCTGTCCAATTTATGATGCTCCGAGGTGGACACTCTGAACAACCACTCCCAACACATCCACTGATCATCAGTTATTAGCTGGGGGATGCATTGGTTTGGCTGCCCCAACAGAAAAAAAATAGGTGAGGGTTGGGTGAGGTGGGGAGGGGGTTGCAAAAATGGTGATTTCCTGAACGTGCCATCCCTTCCCTGCGTCCGACTGCCTGGCATGCTTCTGAAAAGGAGTGCTTTCCCTCATCACCTAGTGATCACTATGGTCCTTCTGAAGTGTCAAGATGAATGTTTAATTACGAATTTTTAGGGTGTGGAATTGGCATAACATGCTTTTCTAATGGTGGTAAATGAATTTTTCTGAGTATCAGTATGGACTAATGGATTTTTATTTATTCATGCCTTCAATCAAATACACTAATTGTTCTTTTTTGTGTGTATGTGACCAAGTCTTGCTCTGTCTGTCTCCGAGGCTGAAGTGCAGTGGCGCGATCTCGGCTCACTGCAACCTCTGCCTTCTGGGTTCAAGCGATTCTTGTGCTTTAGCCTCCTGAGTAGCTGGAATCACAGGCATGCGCCACCACGTCCTGCTATTTTTTGTATTTTTAGTAGAGACGGAGTTTCGCCGTGTTGGCCAGGCTGGTCTCGAACTCCTGGCCTCAAGTGATCCACCCGCCTCAGCCTCCCAAAGTGTTGGGATTACAGGTGTGAGCCCCACGCCGGGCCTAATTGCTTTTTGATGCCCACATTGTCCCAAGTTTGGCCAGCGGGAGCCCCTCAAAGTTGGCTCTTGGGTCTTTGCCTCCTGGCACAAGCAGATGTCCCAGATTCCCCTGTTACTTCTCCTTGCTCAAATCTGGAATTAACTATTTCTCCAAGGAGATCCGATTCCTTTTATTGCAGGATGGTGTTTAAAACAAAGATAGGGGAGTAGCGCCCTCATTGCTACAGGAGTGTCAATGATTCTAGGCTCTTTCAGCAGATAGTAGCTAGAAGATCAATCGATCTATCTATCTGTCTATCTATCTATCTATCTATCTATGTGTGTGTGTGTGTGTGTGTATATATATATATATATATATTTTTTTTTTTTTTTTTTTTCTGAGACAGAGTCTTGCTCTGTTACCCAGACTGGAGTGCAGTGGCGTGATCTCAGTTCACTGCAAGCTCTGCCTCCCGGGTTCACGCCATTCTCCTGCCTTAGCCTCCCGAGTAGCTGGGACTACAGGTGCTCACCACCATGCCTGGCTAATTTTTTTGTATTTTCAGTAGAGATGGGGTTTCACCGTGTTAGCCAGGATGGTCTCGATCTCATGACCTCGTGATCCGCCCACCTCGGCCTCCCAAAGTGCTGGGATTACAGGCGTGAGTCACCACGCCCGGCCAAGGAGATCTATATTTTTAAAAATCATGAGTTCATAATGACTTCTACATTAATTTTAACATTATAGGTTTTTTATTATCTTCTTTTATTTTATATCTTTACCTTTTACCCTGGAAATCTTGGTTCCTGGTTAGAAACATTAATATAATTACTTGTTTGCTTTACTCTACCATATCACATAAAATAGTTTCAAATCCTGAACCCAACATTGCCACTGATGGAACAACTACTGAGTGAAGTTTATGCTTTTTTTGTGGTTCTCTTTGTCCTTAGATTATATCCCATTAATGTTGTAGAGCCTGAACACTGGGTGCTAATATTACTTGAAATGATTCTTTCCTCTGTGTGGTCATATTACTGTTTATTATATGATCAGATTTACTTGTTTCAATGGGTTTTTAAAAAAATTATAGGGTCTGCTTGTTTTTCCCTTGTGGTTTAATTCTACATTTTGGCCATATAAAACATTTGCAAGGTGCAGAAGTCAAACTGTATAACAACATAGTCCAGAAAATCTTGCTTTCCCCCTCCACGTACTGTTTCTCCCTCCCCTTGTGGGAAACCATTCTTTTGTTAGCTTCTGGTGTATCCTTTCAGTGTTTCCTTTTGCAAAAATAAGAATATCCTGCTATTCCTCCACCAGGAATGCCTGTCCTTGTGATTTTTGAAGTGTTCGTACAGTCCCATCTTTTAGATTGATTCCAACCTCTGTGCCACTTCCTCTACGGAGATTTCTCTAATCTTTGGACCGTCATCAAGTTCTTTCTCCGTATCTCAATCCTAGAGCATTCCTAATCTCCATTTCCTGTGGCTCTATCCGTCTATTTGGGGTCTTAATTACATACCATTGTGCATTGTTGTGACTTAAATTTGCTCACGTCTTGTCACTCAATGTCTTGTTTCTGCATGTTCCTTGAGGGTAGGATAATGACTAGAATTCTTTCGTATTTCTCAACAATGTCTAAAAAAGGACTGGGCATAGAGTAATAGGTCATAGATTCAGTCAACTCTTTTTTAAATTTTTTTGATACAGAGTCTTGCTGTGTCGCCCAGACTGGAGTGCAGTGACATGACCTCGGCTCACTGCAACCTCCAACCCCTGGGTTCAGGCGATTCTCCTGCTTCAGCCTCCCAAGTAGCTGGAATTACAGGCATGCACCACCATGCCTGGCTGATTTTTGTGTTTTTTGTAAAGACAGGGTTTCACCATGTTGGTCAGGCTGGTCTCGAACTCCTGACCTCAGGTGATCCACCCGCCTCAGCCTCCCAAAGTGCTGGGATTAAAG